AAAAAAAAAAAAAATCACCCTGGCAGGCAGCCAGGTATATTTTAAAGAGTTCCTACCGACATGAGTTTTAAACTCCAGCTCTTCCTCTCCTCCTTCTGTGACCTGGGACAAGGTACACACCATCTCTGAGCCTCAACCTCCTTATCTGTTAAATGGGCAGAGCACCTACACTTATGCATTTGTTGGGAAGCTTCAACTGGATCCTGGGAGTGCACGTCTGACTTCGGAATTTGGCACGCAATCTGGTACTCATCAAACCTGAGTTTGATGTCTCCCTTCCTGTCTTGAATTTGTCTTTTCGTCTCCATCCCTGTTTCCAGAGTCCTGAATGGGACCCCTTCATGGCCACATCGGGAGCCTGCAAATTCCAGTTAGGTCTCCTCCACACCATCCTCCTAAGTGGTATTTCTCAATCATCACTCCCCAGCTTAAATAAGTAACTGCATTTTCCAGAACAATAACACTTTGAATCTCCCTTCAGCTGATAGGCAAGGTCTTCTGTAGATGTTTCAGCTCCTGTTTCACCAGGAACACCTGTCTCCAGGTAAACAAACCCGTAGCCCTCTGGTCCCTAAAAGTACCCTGGTGACTCCAATCTTGAGTGACCTCAGTCAAATGCTCTTCTGAGTGTGCCTGGCATCTGCTAAGTGCTCCATAATTGGAAGATCCTATACTGTAGGGACAACTGGCTATATAATTTATTTTCCATCATTAGATGAGCTGAGCTAATCTTGTCCAGTCCAGCAGACAGAGAAGCAGTTTCCAACTTCTCTTGCATTCAGGACCAAAAATGAGGTACTAGGTTTTAATTTCAGTCACCCTGCTGGCATTTCCTGTCTACAAAGATTAACACCCAGAGCTCAGCCCTCCTCATCCATCACTGGACATCACTGATTAAAATGCCCCCACTGCACACCCCACACCCAGCTCCCTGGTCCCTTCTCCAAGCCTCCATCCTGAACCCCATCAATAACAAACACATACACACAGATCAATTCACAAAGACCACAATAACAATAACCACAAAAAAGAAAAAGGTCAATCCTCCTGGAAATTAAATTTCGCCTAAGAAGAATTCATAATTACCAATGCACGAGAATTCTTTGAGACATTTGAGACTGGCGCCAGGGAGGGTGACGGAGAAAGTAGGTTATAAATGGCCTTTGTCAAGCTGCAGAAAGGTTATAAAACTGGCTACATTTTGTGCTTAAAAAGAAAAATCAATTTTCCATGTGAGTGAAGTGCTGTAAATATTAATACAAGCTCAGAGGAAGTCCCTGCTTGTCTCTAAACATTCAATGTCAGACAGGAGGGCACCTGGTCATGGGGTCATTTGGGAGCCATTTACTGGTCCTCAGGGCTGGGTCTGTCTGTCTGCAGAGATTGGGAATTAGCACTGAAAAGAATGGCTGACCTTCTCACCAGGTGACGGGAGGTATCTGGGGCATGGAATTACAGTTTGTCCCATCCCCTGCTGATTCCCTACTACTTTTGTTCTTTATAAAAGTATGTTCTGGGGGCACCTGCATGCCTCAGTCGCTTGAGCCGCCGACTTCAGCTCAGGTCATGATCTCAAGGTTCATAGGTTTGAGCCCCACATCGGGCTCTGTACTGACAAAGCAGAGCCTGCTTGGGATTCTCAATCTCTCTCTCTCTCTCTCTCTGCCCCTCCCCAACTTGTGCTCTCTCTCTCTCTCTCTCTCTGTCTCTCAGAATAAATGAATAATCTTTAAAAAAATAAATAAAATTTTTTTCAAAAGTATGTTCTGTAATCCAGATAAGACCTAAACACTTTCCCTGTTTTTACTTAGTCCTTACAGCAAGCCTATGAGGTCATGTGGCAGGCTGAGAATGGCTACCCAAGATATGTTTCTGTCCTTATCCCTGAAACCTGTGAATATCACCTTCTATGGTCAAGTTCTGGCAGATTAAAGTTCTGAAAGATTAAAGTTCTTGCATGGAGTTGACTACCTGCTTATCGAGGTAGGTCTAAATGCAGCCATGAATGTCCCCACAGGAGAGAGGCAAAGAGAGATCACACGCAAGACGAGAAGGCCATGTGCAGGCAGAGCTGAGATTGTAGCCACATGGCTATAAGCCAGCAAATGCTGCAACCCCCAAAAGCTGGAAGAGGCAAAGAACCCACGTGGAGGGAACGTGACCCTGAGAGCACCATGACTTTGGACTTGTGCCCTCTGGAATGGAGACAGAATACATTTCTGTCATCTTAAACCACACAGTTTCTGGTGCTTTGGTAGTCACAGGAAAGCAATACAGGTTGGTAGTCCCATTTTACAGATCAGGAAACTGAGGAGAAGTGGCAGGGGTGGGGCTTTTCAGGCTTTCTGGCTCGGTGGCTCTTAACTGATACTCAGGCAACTCACTGCACTCCCCTGTCACTTACTGAATGGTAGATTTTTCATCTTGGGAAGTCAGAGCAAAGATGGATTTAGAGCTGACCTCACCGACTTACTGTAAAATTGAGGCTCAGAGAGTAGGAGGGTGTCCATCACCACAAATCCCCCAGCACGTGAGTAGAGGGTACACAGCCGGTCCCCTAGTCCCAGCTTGGGGCCCCATCCACCACACTTACTTCCCTTTATGTTAAAGCATTTTATGTCTGAAGACAAACTTGATGATGATTTACAGATGGGAAACTGAGGCTCAGAGAGGTGAAGGTGCTTGAATAACGTAACACAGCAAATTAAAGGCAGAGCTAGAATTAAACTTGCATTTGATCTGTGACCATGGGAGAGGTGTTCTGAGTATATGAAGTGGGTTTTCCAATCACCATATGATCACCCCTTCATCCAGCGTGGACTTCATACCCTGAGTCCTTGTGGGTGGGAGAGGGCAGACTAGATCTAGTAATATCATTTGAGATTTGCAAATTATTTCAACTATTTCACAGTTTGTCATCTCTCTCCCCCCACCAAAATGCAAAGCTGGTAATACTATGGACCTTCCTGCCTTGTCCTCAGCTACACTACACACTTGGCATAGCGTCTGGAACATAGTAGCCGCTTTTTTTTTTTTTTTTTAATAAACCATCTGAGCGCCAGACAGGATGTATAGTATGTCTGTGTGTTTGGGTTTGGGTTTGGGTTTCAATCCAAACTCTGCTTCTTATAAGCTGTGTAACCTCTTGCCAGTGACTCAACATCATCTATCTTTATGTGATTACTCTAAGGAGTAAACAGAGCGAAAGCCAGCATCAAAGATGGCCACCAATGATGCCTGCTACTGGTATTCACACCCTGTGTAGTCTCCTCCCACACTCTACCAGCGTCGGTCTGCATGACCAATAGCATATGGCAGAACTGATGGTATATCACTTCCAAGATTAGATTGTAAAAGACTGAAACTTCTGTCTCCCTCCCTCTCTTTCATAGCACTGCTGTGGTGAAACCAAGCTGCCATGTTGTGAGCAAGGGACTGAAGCCTCTGGCCAACAGCCAGCAAGGCTGACCTTCCAGCAACACATGAGTAAGCTTGGAAACAGATCCTCCAACCCCAGTAAAGCCACTTCAGAGAACTACAGACCCAGCTGACATTTTGACTATAATCTTATAGGGGCCAGACCCACCTGGCTAAGCCACTCTTGAATTTCTAACCCTCCAAGATTATGTGAGATGATACAAGCTTCTAGTTTGCAGCTGCTCAATTTGGGGATAATTTGTTATACAGCAATAGATAACTAATACAGTGAGACAAATGCGTCAAATGTTCAACACACACTCAGCAAGTGGCAGCTGCTGTTGTGGGTAATTTGAAGTAGCTTAGAAACTAGTTTGAGAGATAAGGAATATACATATCTGTCAGACAGAGGACTAGTAATAGAACAAACAAAGAAGCACAGCATAATTTGAATGGGAAAATAAAGTCCCTCCAAGTGTGAGTACGACGGGGGGATGCCGGAGTGGGGAGGCCTTGGTTGGAGAAGACTTCCTCTTTGTCAGGAGCAGATGTCACTGAGCAAAAGGGACATGTGCCAATACACTAGAAACAGGAAGATCAGAATTCCTGCCCAGGCACGTCTGCTCACTTGCTTTGTGTGTCAGACATGTCCCTGAACCCAGCTGGACCTCAGTTTCCTTTCTTTAAACAGAGGGACAGCTCACAGACAAGAATGTGGGGGCTGAAGTCAGGCGTGATCCCATGCAGGTTTTGAGACCCTGAGCAAGTGCTTCACCTCAAAGAACGCCCGGGTTCCTTAGGGAGGAATGGCCACTCTACTGGAGGCATTTCTGGAGACTTTATGAGAAAACCCACCTGAAGTGCCTGGCTCGGAACCTAGCACATAGTAGGCACTTAATCGATGAAGGACAAATGAACAAATGATAAATGAATGAACCCAACCCCCAAAAGAAAACCTAACTAAAACTATTAGCTTCTTTTTTTTTTAAACGTGTATTTATTTCAAGAGAGAGAGAGAGAGAGAATGTGTGCAGATGCATGTGAATGGTGGGAGGGGCAGAAAGAGGGAGAGAGAGAATCCCAAGCACACTCTGCATTGTCAGCACAGAGCCCGATGCGGGGCCTGAGCTCACGACTGTGAGATCATGATCTGAACCGAGGCCAAGAGTCAGACAATTAACAGACTGAGCCCCCCAGGCATCCCTAGCTTCTTCCTTTGTTATCTATATAAGTCTTTCATTGGATCATTCAAAATATATTTACTGAATACCTCCTCAGTGCTAAAAATGTATCAGTAAACACGAGAGACAAGGCCTTGCTATCATGGACTTTAAATCCTAGAGAGGAGACAAATGATTGGCAAGTAAACAGAAAATGGTTATTCCACGGAGGAAAAAAGCAAGATGAAGAAAGAATAAAGTGAGTGGGGATGGACTGAAGGAGGCATACACTCAACATCGGAGCAAAGCCTGAATAATTAGCCTCCTGGGTGAATACAAGCGGGAAGAATTTTCTAATAGGGAACAGGAAGTATGAAAGTCCTGAGGGAGGAGCAGTGTTCGCCTGTCCATGGAACAGAGGAGGACATAGCTCAGTGAGACAGGGAAAAACAAGGCTAGCACAAAGCAAGGTGTGAGAGGTAGGCGGTGACCAGATCACTTAAGCCAGAGTTAGCACACTATAGGCTGCAGGTCAAATTCAGTCTGAACCCTGTTTGTTTGCCTTTTTTTTCATGTTTTATTTAATTTTGAGATAACTGTAGATTCACATGCAGTTGTAGGAAATAATATGATATAGAGAAACCCTGTGTACCTTTTGACCAGTTTCCTCCAATGGAAACATCTTGGAAAAAAATATAGAAAAAATATCACCCCAAGGATATTTACATTGATAGTCAAGATACACAGCATTTCCATCACTACAGAAATTCCCCTTTTTGCCCTTTACTTCCACAATCACTTCCCACCCGACTCTTCTCCTTAATGCGCAGAAACCACCATGTTCTCCATTCCTTTATATCATAGAATTCTTCAGAATACGTTATAGAATTTCTGTCACTTCAGGAATAGAACGTAAATATAATCATACAGTATGTGACCTCTGAGGATTGGCTTTTTTCCCCCCACTCAGCATCATTCTCCTATGCATCCAGATTGCTGATGTATCAATATTTACCTCCTTTTTTATTGCACAGTAGTATTCCATGCTGTGGACATACCATTGTGTGTGTAACCATTCACCCGATGAAGGACATGTGAGTTGTTTCCTGTTCTTAGCTAATATGAACAGCTGCTCTAAACATCTGCATACAAGTTTTTGTGTAAACTTAAGTTTTCACTTCTCTGAAAAAAAATGCCAAGAAGTACAATTTCTGAGTCATAGGATAGTTACAGATTTAATTTTTTTTAGAAAGCTGCCAAACTGTTTTCCAGGGTGTCTGTGCTATTTTAAATCCCCACAGTAACGTATGAGTGGTTCAGTTTGCCACAACCTTGACATCATTTGATGTCGTCAATATATTTTATTGTAGCCATCCTGATAGGTGTGTGGTGAGATCTCACTGTGCCTTTAATTTGAATTTCCCTAATACTTATTGATGTTGAGTATCTTTTGTGCTCACCTTCCGTCTGTAGATCTTTTTCAGTGAGGTGTCTCTTGATGTCTTTTGCCTATTTTCCGATTGATTTGGGTTTTTTTATACTGTTATTTGAAAGTTCCTTATATATTCTAGACATTAGACTTTTGTCAGAGATGTGGCTTGCAAATGTATTTTCTCTCCCAGTTTGTAACTTGTCTTCTCATCTTCTTCAAATGAGCTTTCACAGAGCAAATGTTTTCAATTTTGATGAAATCCAAGTTACCATTTTCTCTTTTATGGATCATACTTTTAGAATCTGAAAACATTTTGCCAAACCCAACTCTCAGAGATTTTCTCCTCTGTGTGTGTACTTTTCTAGAAGTGTTAAGGCTTTATGTTTCACAATTAATTCTGTGATACATTTCGAGTTAATTTCTGCATGAGGTGTGAGACTTACCCTGAGGGTTGTTTTCTTGACTGTGAATGTGCTATTGTGCCCAGCACCCTTTGTTAGAAAGCTCCAATTTTTTTCCCATTTAAGTGGCTTTTGCCTCTTTGTAAAAAACAACAACAACAAAAACACAAAAAACAAAAACAAACTGAGCTATTTGTGTGGGACACTTCTGGGTTTTCTATTCTGTTCCATTGATCTATAGGTCTGTCCCTCTTACACACCTTAACATTGGGTAGACTGACTTCTACTTTATTCTTCTTTTCAAAAGAAGTTTTGCTTAGGTGGCTCAGTCAGTGAAGCATCTGACTTCAGCTCAGGTCATGATCTTGCGGTTCGAGGGTTCAAGCCCTGCACTGGGCTCTGTGTCGACAGCTCAGAGTCTGGAGCCTGCTTCGGATTCTGTGTCTCACTTTCTCTCCGCCCCTCCCCCACTCATACTCTCTGTCAAAAATAAATAAACATCAAAAAATTAAAACAAAAACGAAAGAAGTGTTGCTCATTCTAGTTCTTTCGCCCTCCCATATAAATTGTGGAAAAATCTTGTGTATATCCATAAAAAACTCATCCTGTCATTTTTGATAGGAATCATACTACAAATTTATATCAATTTGAAGAGAATTGAGATCTTTACTATGTTGAATGCTAATCCATGAAGAAAATATGTCTTTCCACTTAGATCTTTTAAAAATTTCTTTCATTAGCATTCCATAGTTCTCAGCATACATGTCCCATTCATGTTAGATTCACATCTAAATATTTCATTATTTTTTTAGGCACTATAAATGATATTGCATTTCACCTGTTCCATTCCTGATATTGATAACTGGCATCTTCTCTCCCTTTTATCTGTATTCCTAGATTTTTTTTTCAATTTTCTTGATGTTTCCAAAGAATCCATTTTTTTTGTTTCCTTGACTTTTATCTATAGGTTGTGTTGTTGTTCTGTTTTTTTTTTTTTTAATTTTTTTTCAACGTTTTTTATTTATTTTTGGGACAGAGTGAGACAGAGCATGAACGGGGGAGGGGCAGAGAGAGAGGGAGACACAGAATCGGAAACAGGCTCCAGGCTCTGAGCCATCAGCCCAGAGCCCAACGCGGGGCTCGAACCCACGGACCGTGAGATCGTGACCTGGCTGAAGTCGGACGATTAACCGACTGTGCCATCCAGGCGCCCCTGTTGTTCTGTTTTTAAGTGCATTGATTTCCTTTCTTTTGCTTGCTTTGGGTTTATTTTGTTCTCTTTTTTGTAGGATCTTAGGTGGAAGTTTAAATTACTAAATTGAAACTTCTTTTCTAATGTATGCATTCATGATTATTAAGTTTCCTCCTCATTAAATATAAGGACCCAGAGAAATTACAATGAAAGGATGGCATCCCACAAATTCGCATATACTGTATTTTTATTTCTTTCAGTTCAGTGTATTTTTTTTATTTCCCTTGAGACTTCCTCTTCAATCTATGGATTATTTAGAAATTTGTTGTGTAGTTTCCAAATGTTTAAAGATTTTTCTGTTATTTGTTATTGCTTTGTAGTTTGCTTCTCTTGTAGCTAGAAAACACACTCTGTATGATTTGCATTCTTTAAATTTATAGAGGTTTTTTTAATGGTCAAGATACGATCCATCTTAGTACATGTTCCATAGGCACTGAAAAGAATGTGTACTCTGTTGCTGTTGGGCAGTGTGTTCTATAAAATTAACTAGATCCTTTTAGTTGATGATGTTATTAAGTTATTCTATAACGTTGGTAATTTTCTAACTGTTCCATTCCATCAGTTGTTGAGAGAGGAAGGTTGGTGTAATCAACTATAATTATGGATTTATCTATTTTTCTTTTCAGTGCTATTGGTTTTTGCCTCACAAATTTTGCAGTTTCACTATTTGATGCAAAAACATTTAGGATTGTTAAGACTTCTTGGTGGATGACCCTTTCAATATTATCTGATAGCCCTCTCTGGCTTACTTTATCTGATATTAACATAGCTACCTCTGCTTTTTGTTTGATTTGCATGTCTTTTTTTAAACGTTTATTTATTTATTTATTTATTTATTTATTTATTTATTTAGAGAGCAGGAGAGAGGCAGAGAGAGGGAGAGAGAGAATCCCAAACAGGAGTGAGGCTCAAGATCACAAACTGTGATCATGACCTGAATGGAAATCAAAAGTTGGACGCTGAACTGATTGAGCCACCCAGGAGCCCCTTCATATGTCCTTTTTAATTTACTTTTAACCTGCTAAAATCATTATGTGTGAAGTGAATTTCTTGTAAAAAGCATACCATATTTTTAAATTAACTCTGCCAATTTGTCTTTTGCGTTTTTAAATCATTTACATTTAATGTGATTATTAGTATTTTAGAGCATAAGCCAGATGTTTGATTTTGTTTTCTGTTCTCCATTTTTCATTTTACTGTCTTCATTTTCTTGTCTTCTTGTGGGTTATTCGAACATTACTTTTTAAATTCCATCTTGATTTGTCTATAGTGTTTTTGAGTACATCTCTTTATATAGTTTTTGGTGTTTGCTCTAGGTATGCATAACTTATTACAGTCTATTCATGCCAACCCATTTAAGTGACATATAGAAACCTTACCTCCCTTTATGTCCCTTTATCTTCTCTCATCTGCAACATAATTTTCTTAAATATTCCTTTAAATACTTTTAGGACCACGTCAAATAGTGCTATCAGCTTTACTTTAACTGTCAAACATAATGTAGAAAACTCAAGAAAACAAGGAAGGTCTATAGCATTTACCCATATTTGTGCCGTATTCTTTCTTCCTTCCCAATGTTCCAAGATTCCTTCTTCTATCATTACTTTCTGTTTGGAGAACTTCCTTTAGCCAGTTTTTAAAAAAGGTCTAATGGCAACTAATTCTTTAAGTTTTCCTTCATATGAGAATGTGCTGATTTCTCCTTCATTCCTAAAAGATATTCCACTGGACATAGGATTCTGAGTTGACAGTTTTGGGGTTTTTTGTTTTTGTTTTTGTTTTTTTATCCAACACTTATAAAATGCTGTGCCACTTGCCTCTGGCCTCCTGGTTTTTCAAGAGAATCCCACCATCATTCAAATTGTGTTTTTCCATACAAATCAAAACCACACTCAGATATCACCTCACGCCAGTCAGAGTGGCCAAAATGAACAAATCAGGAGACTATAGATGCTGGAGAGGATGTGGAGAAACGGGAACCCTCTTGGACTGTTGGTGGAATGCAAATTGGTGCAGCCACTCTGGAAAACAGTGTGGAGGTTCCTCAAAAAATTGAAAATAGACCTACCCTACGACCCAGCAATAGCACTGCTAGGAATTTACCCAAGGGATACAGGAGTACTGATACATAGGAGCACTTATACCCCAATGTTTATAGCAGCACTCTCAATGATAGCCAAATTATGGAAAGAGCCTAAATGTCCATCAACTGATGAATGGATAAAGAAATTGTGGTTTATATACACAATGGAGTACTACGTGGCAATGAGAAAGAATGAAATATGGCCCTTTGTAGCAACATGGATGGAACTGGAGAGTGTGATGCTAAGTGAAATAAGCCATACAGAGAAAGACAGATACCATATAGTTTCACTCTTATGTGGA